CTCTTCACCGCCTCCTCTGCACCCACACGGAGTTCCTCGCATCTCTTCTGCGCAGCCCCCGCAAGCCTCGCCGCACCTCCGCGGCCCTCGCCCACAGCACCACCACACCCACACGTCACTCCCACAGACACCACCACATGCAGATGCCGCACTTGACGCAGCTGAACACACCGCAGGCGACAAGAGCAAAGGGGGTGAAATGGAGGGGAAGCACCGCAGCTGCACATCGTCCCAGCCGCACAGGGGGCCCTGCACTGCTGTGCCGCTCAACGCCACTCACTCGTTCACTCACCTTAGCCGCACCATCACAGCGCCCCTAAGCCAGCGGTGGCGGCACGCAGTCACTTCCACGAGCGCAGCAGCACTGCCTACACAGCAGCAGAGAGAGAGAGGAGAGAGACACCGATGCGGAGCAGTGCACACACAGCAGGCACAGCAGCAGCAAGACTCCTCGACACTCTTCCACTCTCAGATGTTCACAACAACCCCCAGCACCCCCAAATAAACAGAAAATAAGAATCATTCTCACCGCGGAGAAGCACCTCACCGCAAAGCCCAAGTGGCGTCAGTGCTCCCTCCCGTCACTGCGATGGCGCAGCGGAGAGGCAACAAGAAACAAAAACAACGGGGGTGAATTTACCACACGAGCCAACCCCCAAGCAGCGGAAACTTCTTCACAGGCATCTCAATAATCCTGCTGCGGGACCAAATGCATTACCCCCACTCCACACAAACCCGTAGAAAAAAGAAGCCGAAGCCCAAAACAAAGAGGGGGATGATGTACGCCCAACAACGGGCAGCCGCCACGCATTCCTCCAAGAGCCAGGGCGCACAAAGCACACACACACACACAGCGGGGAGAGCAGCACCACACAGACAACCTCCCAACAGCAGCAGCAGCAGCCCAGCATGCGCATCGTGGCGCAGCACACACACACACACAATGAGAGTCATTTAGAAGAATAATTCAGAGAAGGCCCTCTCATGTGGGCGGCGCACAGTCATGTGCCAAGCAAAGCCCATTACAGCAGTGA